AAGGAATGCCAATTTTCTATTTTACAGTTCAATTTTGATCGACCTTCAAAGTTAACCAACCGAACTGGCTTTCACTGTACTCGCAGTGGTATCATAGGACATTTTGCCATGGCTGCAGTAAGACTTATAAACTAAAACATTCTTAGTTTCAGTGACAAAATCAGAATATTGGATTATAATATAATATTCAACAATCCCCTATTTTCCAAATTTCCAATGGTGAATAAGAATAACAGAACATTGTTCTACGCCCACTTATCGATAGCATTTGAAAATATGTCACAGTAAAACTTTATGCTAAATCTCCACAGTTCGCATTTAATTTGATTTTAGCACCGCTAATGTTAGTACAAAAGATGAAACAGAGGCATGACATATATATCCAAAATTCACTTCAAGGTAATAAAAAATCTTAATAAAGCTATCACACGCTACACAAAAAATTCTAATAAACACCATAAAAATGGGTTTTATAAAAGGGGTCTCCTTATGATACATTTAAAAACAACCATCTTCAACTAGGTACCTATGACAAGCTTAAAAAGAAGAAAATTGGACCATGTTGAATTCTTAAGAAGCTTGGGACTATTGCCTATCTAATTGATCTACCTATCGATCTTCAAATATCTAATAGCTTCAGCGTGAAAAATTTCCTTGGATGTTATCCTCGGGAGTGCAATAGAACTTGTGAACAAAGTTATTCTAAAAGGGTGCAACTGATGTAGTATTCATTGAAAACAGCTTATAATAAAGTTAGCTGAAAATGACTTCATTCGCTTAGTTAGATACCCTTGTAACTTTCAACCTATAAAACCCTGTATGCATGGATTCCTTGTACTTGTTTCAGCAAGCTTTTATTCTTTATTGTAAGTTATCCAAATGCATAACGAGTCTCAACAAGTTCTGTATAGGATCCAAGCATATGTATATGTTGAAAACTTTGAAAGAGAAATTGGAAGGGTAACTAGAGAAGTATATGCATATCAACATGTAAAAAGATAACAACCAATTGAGAATTCAGAAGCTAGACTTTATGAGGAAAGGCTTCATGATAACTAGAGGAATGTGAAATTCCATCAAAACTAAACTTCAAAATATTACCCTCAAGGAGAAAGATTTCAAAGGGATAAAAAAGAGATACAGATCTAGTTTCTTTCAAAAATTAGTGGCAAGTTAAAGGGAATTCCATGGTTATAGAACTTCTAATAAGACAGTATGCATGACTCATCGATTTTATCACAAAGTTGAATTCCCAAATCCCAAGAGAACACTAGATTTATCGAGTAGATGCAGTGGAACCATGTCTCCCGGGGAATTGGCTAGATGGAGATACAGTAACCTCCAACAAGCTATATCAGTAAGCCCCAATGGTTTTAGAATTTTCTAGTGTTGGAACTGAAAAGGTGTTCCAGGACTTCATTCAAATTCTTTTTATGTAAACTAATACATTAGGAATGGAAAGTATAGCTTGATAAGCCTCATTACGAGTCTATACAAGGTGATCAAAAAAAATTTCACAGAAAGGTTAAACAGATCTTGTACTCCGATATGATTGGCTTTCACCAAAGATTGGTAAACCTTGGATCTTATTCTAATTGTCAATGAACAAATAGATAATGGAGGAAAAATGAAAGATAAAGAGAGCTTCGTATGCTAGAACTTGAGACAGAATAACATAAGGTGGATTCGGCTTTTCTTTATGCGGATTTCACTGTAAAAGGTCTTGAACTTGAAACCGCCTACCATAAGGTGGATGTTTATCGACAACCAATTTTTTTAATAGAAGATCAAGAGGTAAAATCTGAAGCTTCAAAGGGTATATTTAGGCAATAAGACTCAGTTTCCACTTTCTTTCTATTATGACTGGTTGTTTGAGTGGGGTATTATCACATGCGTGGTTTATGGCCTTTTCTTTTAGAGCCTAAAGAGTTGGAGCAAAATAAAAGACAGAAACAAAAATTATTACAGTAAAAGGCTACAATTGTGGATGATAATGAATAATTGCAAAAAGAAAAAAAAAAACAAAAAAGGAAGTAAATATCAGAAGAGAGACATTAAAGTGAGACACACCCCAAACCTCTTCTTCTCAAGAGACCTTTGCACCATTAAGAATTCTCTTGTTTCACTCAAACCAAACTTTTTTTTCTTTTTTTCTTTTCTTTTTTTTTTTTTTTTTTTTTTTTTTTTAAATTT